CTCTCTCTCTCTCTCTCACTCACTCATTCACTCACTTACATAAAAAAACTCGTTCACATTATTTAAAAATTCTAATAATGTATCAATATTTATTTATTATCTGATAACAAATAACATAATATTTGAACTATTGAAGCGTTTTAAAAAGTTAAAATAATTAAATTTTATTTTTATTTCACTTATAATAAATAAAAGGTGTCATTATTGTATTTAATGTAGACGTTAATAATTATAAAATCCAAATTTTTACTTATTTCTAAATTAAAAATTATTTATGATAGAGTAAATAATTTGAGCTAATTGCTCTCTAATAATTTTAAACATTTTTATTACGGTTAATTTAATTTTTAAAATAATTTACAAATGTTATTATTAACAAGGCTTGCAAACCAATGCGATAAATTAACCTCTATTCGGATAACTTAAATTTAATACATTTAAATATAAAAACTTACAATAATACCCACAATTAATAGTAATTGTTTTAAACATTTATTATAAAATTAATTTTATTAATATTTTTGTTTATATAAATTCTATAAAATAAAAAATTTATAACTATTTATGACAAACATGCTGAGATATTATTCTACTTCTTAAACTAATTATACAATTTACTCAAATTATATTTAATTATACAACATAAAAATGAATTATCCAACAATGACTGGCTGTGCGATACGATTGCCAATACCACACATATTCTTATTCTGAATGACTCTAACGTAACCATTTTCGCCCCAATTTTTACCCCAGCTATAGTTAGACACCGGGAATATTTCAAAATAAAATTATATTAATAAATAGATTGTTTCGCAAGATAAATAAATATATAAGCAAGTACTATTATACACAAAAATAATTTACCTGTTTCGGGCGATCCAATAATCGGTGCCATTTTCAGACCCATAGCCGACCAATAGTAGTGAGTGATCCATAGCATCCATTGTATTAGAACAGTGGGGGTCATCGAGAATACCCCCTCTATATGTCTGCCATGCGGTGGTGTTGGCGTTCACATCGACCACGAGGGGTGAATTCATGATAAATGTACTCAACACATCCTCCTGATCGCCGTGACCTGTGGTCATATACCCTCCGAGTCGGGCCACAACTGTTGCGTTTGTGTTGCACTTATGAGTGCACTGACCAGTAGTACGGTATGTGGTCTCCGAGTCAATGCTGACGTGCGCATTGGCCAACCATGAAATCACCGCATACGAGTTAACCGGGTTAGTTTTACTGCAGGGACACCAATCCTTTTCTAGATTATTATAAATAATTAGTTTAATATTTGGTTGTTATAATTGATGGTAAACTTACGGCAATCGTAGACCTCTTGTCTGCTAAGACTTATGAGAGAACCGGTGTTGAGGGCCAGTTTAGCTGATATTGAATCTAGCACATTAATTACTGCCGAATCAATGCATACTTGCTGAAAATAAGGTTAAACAATATTTATTATTTATATTTTATGCTAATTATTTTAATACAAATTTACAGGTTCGGGTACGGGTAGGACAACACCCCGGTCGCGCCAATCAAAACTCAGTGATTTATACACCCGCGAATATACGCTCGTACAAATGCATAACAGCAAAATGCTTTTTATCAACATGGCAAATTTATTGTTTTCAAACACACTTTAAGTTCAATCGCGTAAACAATTGGCTATTTATACGTTATTTGAAAACAATAAGTGTTTTTAACTTTCTTGATATTTATTGATACAATTGATATGAGAACAAAAGAATGATAATAATTAATTGTAATCAATATACTAATAGTAAATATATTAATGTATTGTGTAAAGGTAAATCCTTTGAGTATTTTAATCCATTTGGATTGTATTTAAACTTAAGCGTTATTTATTCATTAACATTAATTCTTTTTAGAATTAAATATACTGATATATTAACAGATATGAACCGGGGCTGGCAAGACCCTTAAACACTATATACTCATTACCTGTTATTTTCCTATTAATGTATCAATAGTATATTTCCATTCACATTGTATTACTGTATACTCAATAACTATTATAATTACTGTATATT